AACTAGAACTGCTTATTTCTCAGCGTTAAGTGAGGAGAATAAGAATAATCCTAAATTTCTTTTCAGTACAGTTTCCAAACTTACACAGAATTATAGCTCTGAGCCATCTATTCCCTTAGCCCTCAGCAGCAATGACTTCATGGGATTTTTTTACAAGTAAAATTATTTCTGTTAGAAACAAAATCTTTAGCATCCTCCCTAATGCGATTTCTTCTTCCTCAGTAAGTGAAGCAGCATCAGAGGTAACTGTAGAACCTCATCTGTGTTTCATCTGTTTTGATCCAGTTGAGCTTTCAGATTTATCAAAAATATTAGCTTCATCTAAACCTTCCACTTGCATTTTAGATCCAATCCCAACCAAATTATTTAAAGAAGCATTTCCTTTGATTACTGCCCCCATTCTAGATATAATCAATCTATCCTTAGTAAATGGATATGTACCACAGAATTTTAAGGTTGCTGTAATCAAACCTCACTTAAGAAGCCTTCTCTGGATCCAGATGACCCAATGAATTATAGACCAATATCTAACCTTCCATTTTTATCCAAAGTCCTGGAGAAAATAGTGACCATCCAAGTACGTGAGCATTTAAACACTAATGATCTGTTTGAGGAATTGGGCTTTGTATGCCCAAGCCAATATTTTGGTCAGGAAATTTCCACTTGTGTTCTGATATGATAAAAATCCACCTTTTTAGAACCTACTGCACACCTTTGTATACTACACCTTTGTGGTGTAAGTATAGGAAAGCCAGCTTGCATAAGCTTAAAGTAGAATACAACGATGCATTTAGGACTCTGCTAGGGAAGCCTCGGTCCTGTAGTGCAAGTCTTTTATTTTGTAATGCTCATGTCAGGACCTTCCAAGCCATAATGAGGAATTTGATGTACAGGCTTATCTTGCGATTGAAGAACTCTAAGAAAAGACTTGTGCGGATGCTGGTTGATCCCCATTTTAGTGCAGTGCATTACCAGTCATCCATGTGGAGACACTGGTATGCATGTCTTTTATAATCTTTTGTATCGTTTTTATGTCTCTTTTTTAAGTGGACCTTGAGTCTGATAATAAAGTTGAATTGAATTGAATTGAAAGTGGGAGGTACATATGCAAACTGTTGTAATTCCTACACCGTTCACCTGATTTGGATGTACATACCCTCAAATAAAAGCTGACAGTCTGCAGTTAAAGGACATCTTGTTTGTTTCATTTGATATCCATTGTGGTGGTGTACAGAGCCAAAACTGTTAGCATTGTGTCGATGTCCCAATATTTATGGACCTGACTGTATACAGAACAAATTTTGGTTATTGAAGGTTATTTTGCATCAAATATGCAGATGACTCAGAGTAAACATCTTCAATGGGAGGACAAACTGAAGAAACCCCCCACACCACCACCGATCAGTCACAGCTGCAGACATTAAAATGAGGGTTTTCCCAGTTTTTGTAAATTATTATTCTCATGAAGGCAGGACTTTTCAACATTAAATTACAAAATCCTCACAATAAATGTTAATTCTGAACAGACTTTAATACTTCAGCTGAATCGTTTAATCACTGAAAACACAGCAGAACGTCTGTAAAAGGAGTCAAAACATGTAAAATACGCCCCAAAAGAGTAAATCTCAGCAGAAAAACAGCCATATGGCTAAAAACATTCCCCCTTGGAGTTTGTTATGACTGGTTTCAGATCTCATGAGCTTCTGTCTCTGGTGTTCAGCAGCTGCAGTGTTTATCGAGTTTAGTCATCACATGGAGGAATCGTGAAACCCAAACATTACAACTCAAACATGTGACAGGATTCCTCTAAAAAGTCTGCCGTTTGTTACCGAGTTATGAATCACCCCTAACAAAGTCTTTCAGAGTCCATCATGTCGGTTTTTTACATTTCTACTAATGTTTGTGTGACTCTTTGCGTTTCTGCCTCCTGTTTCATCGTTTTCTTATGCAAACACAAAACACGAAATCAATTCATCCTTGTATCTTAAAATCATTTTCTGAAAAAAAAACACTGCATATTTTAAACTCATTTGGTCTACATCTCCAGATTTGTGCATCTTTAGAGCCACCCACTCTTTCTTAAATTTAATTTCACGCACATTATTTTGAGCTGACACACAATCCTCCAAAGAAGCAGGTGGCCGGAGTCAAATAAAGTGTAATGTTTCATGTTCACATCACCTTATATTAAATTAGAAGACACCAGAGCCTGTCCTCGCCCAGCTGTTAAAAACACACTGATAGGTTTAACTTGTTTGGCTCTGTGTGTGTTCATTTCAAAGCTGCAGAAGTAATTCAAGACTGCAGGAAAGCCATCATGACATCAAACAGATAAACAAAAATAATACTGGGATCATCTGACACAAATTCATCTAAGAAGGTGGGAAAGTTAAAAATGATAAAAAAAATCTAAGTGGATCTGAAGCATCTGCAACATTAGCTGACTGAGGTGTAACGTAACACCAGACTGTCGTACATCAGGACCACACAAAGCCTTAAGAGCAGACCTGGGCGCCTCAGGAACAGCAGGCAGAAGGAATATGTTGAAAGTTTAAAGAACAAGTCACCCCAATCAACGTTTATTTATTTATTTTTTTTGCTGAAAACGGTATTAATGAGTGTCTAATAGTGACATAAAACACGTGTAGTCATTTCTTTGGCATTTTAATGCTTCTTAATTAAAATGTAAAAATTCAGCCTATAGGACCATCATTATTGCTCCCTAATCCGGTGAAGCATCTGCAACAAATCTGAATCAGCCATAACTATTGGCTAAGAGGCAGCTAATGATGTTGGTGGTACCGTGTTACGTGGCTGGACCGCAGCGGAATCTCGACCACGCTTCCAACTGGCTCGGCTACTCATGAGCCAATATGAAATGATATGGCTCAGAGTTGCTAGCCTCTTTAAAAATAATCATCAGCCACCCTTTCTTCATGTGAATGAGGTTAACATGAATCCTAAAAGTGCTGCAATTTTTCTGTATGCTCCTCCGACTAAGTGGTGTGCCTGTGTGTGTTCGTGTGTGTGCACTTGTTAGCGGATTGGTTTCTCCGATGGTTTTTCTCAGAGAGCTCACAAGTGTGGAGGCCTCCTACTCTCTCAGTCCCCAAGGCGACGCCTCCTTTTGGTGCATTTTTCAAACAGGAAGTGTGGGTGGAGTAATGCTCTGTTAGGGAGGTGACTTGCTCTTTAAATATTGATGAATCATTGGTGTGTGAAAGCATGTAGCGACAGTGGAGATGAAAACTCCCATTTATCAGGAAGAAACCTCCAGAGGATCCTGGCTCAGTATAAGCAGCCATCCGTCATGACTCAATGGGGTTTGAAAAAGCAGAGCACACACACACACACGCGCACACACACACACGCACGCACGCACACACACACACACACACACACACACGCACGCACGCACGCACGCACGCACGCACGCACGCACGCACGCACGCACGCACGCACACACACACACACACACACACACACACACACACACACACACATGCTCAAAGCTGGAGGGCAGGGACCCTGTCTCCTCCAGCCACTATCCAGAGCTGTACCTCTGAGATTCAAGCTAACAAAATAAAACCTAGGCATTTAGAGGCCACTAATTTAGATTATCAAACACATCTTTGTGCAGATTAACTAAAAATAAACATCCCAAAACTAACAGTGTTTAACTTAAAGCTTCCATACCCAGGTTTGAATTAGCTAACGAGCTGTGGGGAACCGGCTGCCTGGACTTCTCACAGGTAAACCGAAGGTGTAACTGGATCTCTTCTATGTTCTGCTGGTTAAAGCTGAAGGATCGCCGTGACCGCTCGTCTTTGGGGATTAACGAATGCTCTGTCTATTCTGACAAGCAAATGAAACAGAAACGCAAACAAACGACATTAGCGGCTGCCCTTTCAACACACTTTATGTAATTATTGTAACAAGACTGTTACTACAGGTCATACAGAACTACACAACAGACGGTCTGGCTTATCCACTAGAACTGGTTAATCACCTTCAGTGTATTTTATCACCTGCAAAATTTTACATTTTCTGTCCTTTCGTCTACTTGTGCAGCCTACAGCTCTGTGTGTTAACTATGCTGATAGATTTTATTTGGCTGTCATTTAGCTGTTTATTAACAACTGACAGCTAAACACAGCAGTGGTCAACAGGGAGGTGCCCTGCCCTCCAACCTGGGGCTGGGGGGCGGGGATATGGGCCTGTGATGTCATGCTTTAATGCCTCTATAACAAGTAGTATTTCTATGGCTGCATTGTGATTTCTTAGTAGATATTCTATTTAGTAAGAGATAAACTTTGTTTATCAGATTGAATCTATATGTGAACTACTACTAGTAGTAGTACAAAGTAATACTATACACCCCTACTCCAGTTCAATTCAATTCAAAAATACTTTATTAATCCCGAGGGAAATTCACTCGCTTTTGTTATTTAACAAAAATGGTGCAAATACATAACAAATACCTACAAAGGTTCCCTCTTTTCTTCCTATTTACACTACGTGGGTCTTTTAACACATTGACAAAGTAAAAATGTATAAAAATGCTTCAGATCATGTATTTTACACATACCTATTTACTTTGCTGGAATTATGATGCTGTTTGTGAAAGATTGCATAAAAGTTTTGTTTTTCTTCTTAAAAAAATCAGCAAATTTAAACCCAATTTTGTAAAATAACCAAAGCTTAGTAAATCTGACTTGTGCTGTCTGGTTTTTTTTTTTTTTGCCCCAGACTGATCCAGTGGTTAAATAACTGGTCTGTAGTCAGTGAGGTCTTCTCTAGAAGTTTAACTTTCTTTAGAAACTTGAGTTGGATAAAGGAGCAAATACTTACTTTATAAAATGAGTGGTGGGTTGTGCTCTACTGCCATCTGGTGGGCAAGAGAAGTGACGACTAGTTTTAAGAATAACTATTATTCACCCTCTATCATGTTTAGCAGATTTCTACCTAATCTTAATGCTGCAATACATCAGAAACAAATAGTGTTTTTATTTGAACTTTAATGATTTCATGTCCATTTTATACAACAATTTCAAGCTTTGCACAAAGAGACTGACCACAGCAGCCTGTGCTCTGCTTCATGATCCGGCTGTGAGAGCAACTGAACATCACCTATGAAACCCAACAAATGTCTACATATCCCATAACGAGGTTCAAAGACATCTGTGAGGAGATCAGCTGGAGATCATGACAGTAAATGGTGAGAGCAGATCCTCTCCACGAGCAGGAAGTTGCATTTTCCCATCAAAACACATTAAGTACGCCACCCAAAAAGAATAAAATTAAAATAATTTGTGAAACGAAACCCAGGAAAACACAGTGACACCACAACAGTGCTCAGCCAAAACCCATCAAAGCAAAGTACAACATCATGGTAAATAATAAAGTTATTAATACTAAGTAATTTTCTGGATTTTTCTCAAACAAAAATAAATCCTTTGGTCAAGTAAAAAAAAAAAAAAGAAAGAAAAAGAAAAAAGAAGATGAAATCAGTGAGCTCTTTCGTTTAGCAGTCTTGATTTCCTCTTGTTTAGTCATCCAGGTTCTTGAGGCTCTAAGGCGGCAAAGGAGGTGTCAAGGCAATATGGTTATGGTGCCCCAGGCGCTCCATGCTGCAGCATGCTGGTAAAAGGACTACAAGAGTAAGGGGCAGAGGCATTGAAGGATAATGGGCGTCCTCAGACAGCAGGTGAAGGTGCATCAGGATCAGGCTCGTTGCTGTAGTTGTTGCTGTAGTGGTTCCCACTGGGTGGGTGACTAGGCAGGATGTCCAGTTCATCCACCTGTGGGCCAGGATGCATCGCCACCAGCTGATCTTGAGGGATGTCAGCGGCTGCTGCGGCCAGGTTGGTGATGGACTTGGACTTTACACACTGAAAGTCCACGTGTCGGCTTTTGCCCTCCTCCTTTTCCCAGGACATACGTATGAAGGGCCTCTGGACGTAGTTGTAAATGACCTCTGGACGACCTCCTGGGCGCTTCTTGACCTTTTCCTTATAGGTGGGGTAACCTATTGACAAAGAGGAGCAAATGATTGTGTTGTTAAGTCGGTTGATTTAGACCACAACAATTCTGGCTAATAACTGAAGACATTTTAAAAATAAGTCAAACTTTTTACAATTAACAAACATCAAAGGTTCTTTTTTATCCAAATGCTGAAACATAAAACTGTAAAAGGACCAATTTTTGTTTTTGTCCAGTACTCTGAGAGGGCTGTTGTTGTGGAGAAACGTAAACTAAACCAAACTGGTTCCACACAGAATTAATTCTTGAACAACAGTTTGTCTGAATAACATTTTATCAAACCTTCAATCCACTGATAAAACCATTTCTCCTTCCACAGTTCAACATACCTTCAATGCCCAGTCTGATTTTCTTCAATCCTCTTTCCTTTAAAACTGATTTGGCAACATCTCGATTCTCAATATACTTGAAAAATCTGTACAGTTTTGTGCTGTAAATGACTGCAAAAGAGAACACACACACATGATTTATCACACACGTGTGTTTGTCTAAGTGCGATTTGTGTGTCTCCCGCGTTAGCGGACACTCACTCTGTGAATACTCTTCACCCATCTGTGGTGGGTACTCTTCATCCCAGTCCACCACATCGTCATCTGTAAGGACTACAATGTGACATTCCCTCTCTCCACTCTGTGCACTGGCAACCATTAAAGGCAGAACCATTTCTTCAAGGTAAAACTCAAACTGATGGCGAGCTCCGTCATTGGACAGCTCGTGCATCAGGGCACCTAATGAAGGAAAAAAAAAAGATGTGATCTTTTAACAACAGGAGTCCGAAGCATCAACCACAAAGCCTTAAAACACAAACACAGACTAAAATGAACAGTTGAGTTTGGTAAAAAAAAGATTTGGTTAAAAGGTGCTGAACACTGATTTATTCAATATATTTGCTGTAGTCTGTAGTTGGAATGAATGCCTTGTAAGTTGTACTCAGGGGACAAAAACGTGTGAGCACCATTTCTAGGAACTAAAAGTGAGCCACATCACAGCTGAGCTTCAGACGGCAGGTTTTTGGAGTCTTGTCTGCTGATTTTTGGACATCTCGCCTCTGATTGGATAACAGCAATGTGACTCTACCACTGACTTGCAACTTTGATGTTTTACCGCCAAAAATAACACAAGCCTGAAAGAGTTCTACCACGTTGTAGAGTTGCTAATGCTAACAGTTAGCTTCAAGTTAAGCCGTTCTTGGCTGTTTCCTGGATGCTAAACCAACAACAGCCTTCCCTGTTGCGAGTCAAGATGGGCAAGTCTTGAACAATAAATGACGCAGATATGTCAGGCTTTTCTAATCCTAAGAGTTTCACCGTCTGTTTTCCATCAGAGGCTAATGCAGGAGGTAGGTGTAGGAGACTATTTTCATGTTCAGCCTGCATGAAAAACTCAAGAGTGATCGATTATAATCAGAAATAATCATAAAATTATTTTTTCTGTGTTCCACACCTTTAAGTTGCACAGAACTGTTTTTAATGAAGGCAATTTTCAACTAATATGGATTCAAACTCCAAATAAATGTAAATATATTTTCAATTAATGCACAGAAAAGACTAGAAAAAGACTTGAAATCAAAAATAATTTTGTTATAGTTTAATATTATTTTGAATAAACTTGCAATAGTGTCTCTAAAAATTCCTTTTCAGAGGGGACTGAAAGAACAACAAACACATTTTAACACAGAAAATACCATGAGACCTGAGTGAACATCAACTATAAATTCACATCAACACACGGTACATGATAAAAAAATTAATCAGGAAGATCGACAACATGAATCCAACTGATTTGTGAGTAAAGGTTTAATCAATTTGCTCCTTCAGAGCAGAGAGATAACCAAATTCTTTGGTACCCAGGAAGAGCCAGAAAACCTTGAAAGAACAAACCTGCCATAAAATGAGAGCAGCTGGAACACCCGTTAAGTTCAAAATCTAAACTGAACTAATGGGGCGTTGCGAATGGAATAAGCCACTGGCCTTAATAGAAATCTGTAAACTGGACTGAGATTTGCAGCTTTCTGGACGGAAATTATATCACCAGTTGAGCCAAACGTTAAGAAGTTTAGCTGCAGTGATCAGAGGCATATTTGGAGGAAAGAAACATTCAACTTGTGGATCAACTGTTCTGAAAAGAGGTGAACCAAAAACAAAAGACTCAATAATATTTAACACTACAATGCAATTTAGAATGCAGAGATTTGGCAAATTTTGTTGTTTCTGTTATTTAACAGATGATAATTCTTCTGGGGTGTCAAAGAGCCTCCATTGGAGTTCTACAAGTATTTTGCCTTTGAAGAAGGTAAAAGAAGCAAAAACTGAGTCATCCATGCATGGACGTAATTTTCACTTTAGAAGTGGGGGGGGGGGGGGGGACACGGGTGGGGGGGGGGGGGATCTTTACAGTTCGCTCTAATGGGAAACAGGCTTCAACACAAACAGTTGTTTTCCACTTGGTCCTAGAGCTCAACCAGTGTCAATTTAATATAGCGTAATATTGTTTTTGGATGGTAAAAAGTGCAGGGGTCAAAACTTGACTTTGGAAAAAGTGGGGGGGACATGTCCCCCCTGTCCCCCCCCAAAATTACATCCTTTCATCCATGGCCTCAGTGAGTTCAATTCAACCTAAGCTCTGAACGGCATCAAGGCTGATGCTGAACTTTAGCAAATTAATTGTTTCAATTAATAAAAGTGGAAGGCTCGCTTCCACGTCAGCGGTTTTTAAACAGGAATCATCAAAAGCACAGAACTTAAGTGTTTTACTGCGAAACAAAACCTGAATCCAGTTCAGTTTAAGCCCGTTTTACTCCACATAACGCAGCGAAGACTACACAAAACTAACAGTTACCACAACATGGATAACAACAGAATATGTTCTTATGTGTTTATTAGGCTTTTAACAAAACCTAATCTGTTATTTAGTATGAAGCAGAACTGTTCTTGTGGTCTCCGGCTGTATGGTTAATGTGGAACACCAAGAGCATAATCCCAGAAAGGATACTCACTGAGGTCTCTGCATTTGATGGTGCTATAGTCAAAGGAGATGCATAGATAGTCACACGCCTCGCGCAGCTCAGGGATGGAGATTCCATCTGGACACCGGATTATCCCAGATTTGTAGTAATCCTGTCAATTAGATCAACATCACAAAGGCGACCGTCATTTCAAATGCTGATGATTCACAAATTTATCCAACACTCATAAAAATACAGTTTTTGAATTAAGGCGTTCAACATTAAACCTAAGGATGCACTGAAACATTTGGGCCGAAAATGACCCAGAAGTGCATTTTCGGCCGAAACAGACCATCAGGTGAAACCCTGAGGGCAGTTTTCAAACTCTATAAACTCCAAAAATTTCAGCAAAAACATGCCCAAAAGTGTTGCTCAGATTGAAGTTATGCATCCCCAGTATCTTCTGGTGTAAAAGTAATAACTTTATGAGGAATTAATTTCTAATTATTGACAATAATCATTTGTTTCGGTGTTTCAGGTTTTGGCCAAGAACTTTAATTTCGGTGCATCCTTAATTAAACCTTAAAAAAAAACGTAATGTTGCTGTTTTTGAGTATTTTGCATCAGAAGGTATAACGATTGGTTACCTTTTACTATTTGCATTCCTGTAAAGCAAAAGTCAAGACATAAAAGAATGAATCATTAACAGCTGTGATTTAAACAGGCACGAGCCTAGAATGGAGTCACAGCTAAAGGTCCTGAGAGGATTATCCTGCTTTCACATCTCCATACATCGCTTGCCCTCTGCTCTCTGAGTTCCATTCAGAATGAGCCACGGCCAACGTAGGGGGAGGAGCTGTGTTGTGCTGAGGCTTTTGATTAATGATTATTCGTACAAAAAAAAGAAAACGTTACATTGAAACTCACCAGAATTGCCCGGAATACAGTAGAGCTGATGCCCTCGGCCACTTCATACTCCCCCTTCTCATTGGGTCTTGTGAAATTGTGTTCTCTTCCAGATCCAAACATTCTAAAGAAAACAAACTTTGGATTATGTTCCCCACAAAATAAATAAATAATAAATAAACCTACTTAACAAAAATAAAATTTGACTGATATTGCATTGTAGAATTCAAGTAAAATACTTTATATGAAAGACAAACAGTGACTAGAACCAAAGTCTGGCATACCTGCCCAACATCGTGTTGGGTTGTGCAGTGAAGATGGATGGATCTACTACGAAACGCGTGTTGTCAACAATCAGAGTCACTCTCTCAGAGCTTCTGATGCTTCGGTTTCCTACGCTGGCGTTTGCTCCACTCTCCTTAGGATTCTCGTAAACAAAAACCATCTCTCCAGCTCCCAAGCCTTTGAAGGTGCCATCTGTACTGGACAAGCTACTGTTACGACTGCTCACCACTCCGCTGCTGCTGGAACCACTGGGCGAAACTCTCTGAGGTCTTGGGCTACTGGGCCTTGATGATAAGCCATCACGCTCACGCTCTGTAGGAAGTTAAATTATTCTTAAAAACGCACTACCTTTAAATTTAGCTCATTTCTCTCTCTCTCTCTCTCACTCACACACACACACACACACACACACACACACACACACACACACACACACACACACACACACACACACACACACACACACACACACACACACACACACACACACACACACACACACACACACACACACACACACATCTGATAACCCAAAACAGGCTTATTAGGTTAATTCAGTGCCATATGGAAGAAAAAAACAACAACAGGAGAATCCACTTCTATCAAATAAATCAGCAGCAGTTAACTTTTGATGGCAACAAAGCTGAATGCAGCTATAATATTCAATATAAAGGCTCTATTCTTCATGTGTACTCACCACTGTTGGGTTGGCGGGTGGGTGAAGTGACGTTCCGAATGCAGGGAGTGAGTTGCCCTTCTCTCTCATGTGACGAGTCTCTAGAGCGATCGCTGGAACGACGGCGGTCTCGTGAGCGGTCACAACCCCCACTGGCACCATGCATACTCATCTTCCTCTGTTCTGCCTCCACTCGAGAAGCTCTGGCCTGACTGCTGGTTTCCAGACAAAAGGAATCGTAATGTTTCCCACTCTATAAGGTATACAGTGCCTATTCTACATAACAAACTAGACAACTAATTGAACTGTCAATGCAGCTACCAAAACATGAATTTATTTTGGATTAAACAGAAAAATTGTGGATGTGGAAAAGACAACAAGTGTTGCAAGAAAACAGAATTGCTCAAGAGACTTTGCAACCGTTTCTAGCAACCTGAACAACTGGACCAACTACATTCTGATCTCTATAATTGCACAAGGCACATTTCAATCCTTATCTGAGTCACAATCAAATTACTTTTTCTCACACTTGAGTTATATATACAACCTAAGTGCATTTATAGAGTAAATAGTCCTAAATGACAAATATAATATAATTGACTCAAATGAAAGAAAAGGTTGTGATGAGCATAGCTTCAGGACAAACGAAGTTTGACCACTTTAACCTAATGACGATTTCAGTGAAAGATCATGTGTGTGAAACCAGAAAGTAGTTCACTCAATCACTCACTCACTCCCATCTGAAACCCCCTTTTCCTAAAACCTTTCTACAAACATGAAATGCAAAAGAAAAAGGGTTAAGATCAAGAGATAAATATGCACAAAAATAATTTATTGTCAAATTTACGACATCACTGTCATTTATTGCTTACATTATTACAAAGTTTGATTAATAGATGCGTGACTGATCTTGAAGCAAGCACGATCTATCTGTCCCTAATAGTGGACGACCTTGTCTAAGATTTCAGAACATTAATGTGGTTTACCTCGAATGCTTGCAGAGTTTGCGAGGTCGGCTTGTTGCTTTTCGTTCCCAGTTGTCGGTATCACTAGAGTTGCTGTCATATGACTGCAGACTTGCTGCCATCACCCATTAAGAGGGAAATCCGTTCTGGATCTTTCACTGTTCATTATCTGGTTAACAGCTGATAAATGGTGAAACAACAGAAAAAAATCAACACGTTCTTTAAATCCTCCGGTAAGACCCAATGTTAAACCAAACACGTCATTAATGTGTTACTACACACGTTCTACATTAACGAACACGGCTGACATGGTTGGCTAAATGTTCATAATATTTAAACAACATTCAGAGAATGTTCCTGACAAGACTGAGTCAGCCGGACTAAATCATTCTCTACGTTAGCATACTTAGCTTGCTAACATTAGCTTATTTTGTTAGCGGCACACTAAAGCCTAATTACACCTCAACGACAGTGTGTAAGACTAAGTTATCCCATCGGTGCTTAAATGTGTTATTTGAAATTCTCCGAAAATATAACAATATTACTAGAAAACAAAGAACATACTTATTTTACTCCATTTTCCGCTGTAATCCCAACCTCCAGCTAGCCAACCCTTTCAAAACACTCACCCTGGTGACGTAAACGTAACAACCGTTGACGGCTTGACGTGCTGACGCTCTCGAAGTTCAGAATTTAGCTTGTGGCAAAAAGGCGCTGTTTATTGAAAAATCTATTTGATAACTGAAAATAATTTATTTTAAATCTATTAATTATCCCTTCAACGACCCACGTAGAACGATTTCCACGTTTCCCTGAAAAGGACACGCAAACAAATGTAGCTTTTACAGATCTCGTGATAAGTTGCGAGCTCCGCCTCCCTTTTCACACGCTTGATTTAAAAATAAAAACATCAGCAAACAAAACCTCAGTCAACTGACACTATTTATACTGAAACTGTGGCTTTTATCAGGAGTTGGGTTCTGCAGCTTAATCAGTAATAACGCCACAATGATTGAGTCTTTTTTAACAAAAGAAAACAATAACTACAACAATCAATGTAAAATAACAGACTGATCAGTGACCAACAGTGAACAGATTAGTGTCACAAACTGACAGATTATGAATGAGATCCTAAGGGACAGAGCATTAACAAAACCAGGGGGCAATAAAGGACTAAATGGGATTACACCGATGAGGTAAACAGCAACCCATAGGTTTGAACCAATTACATGCACAGTTCAAGTAATCCTCCAGACTTACATTGGTACCATATCAGTGAGGCTCAATAAAAATATAACAAGAGGGTGAAATTGCATTTATTTTACAAAAAAGAGCATTTGTTCAAAATACATCAAACCAAGTAAATGTTCTTCCAGCCAAAGAAAAATACTTTATTTGAAATACTTGTTTATTTCACAAAGTAAAATAATTCAAAGTGCATATTCTACCACAAAATTGTGATCAGGTGAACAATAACAAAATGTTAGCATTGATTGTGTACAAAACACATTCATTTTCTTCTTTCTTTTTTAAAAGCTCAGTTGTCATAAGTTACAAATGCAGTCACTGTTAATTTTTGCTAAAATTGTTACATCCACATGTGTGCATTTGTGTAAAAGGAGGCAACAATAGTGATGTCCATGTGCAAACTGTAGACCTAATATTTAATTCAAAGGTTAGACAGCTTGCTAAATTCAAACCAATTTAAAACAATGGATACGAGAAGAAATTATAAAGTGTTATTTTCTAAAATTCAAAATGATGAAAACAAAAGTGAAACACTTCAAGAAAGTATGAAAACAATTTGTAGATGGTTTCCAATACAATTTGGATTCCTAAGCCCATAATTATACTTAACATAAAATAAATCAGATAAATATGCAAAACATGCATGATTTAGTTTAGTTGGTCCTGTTTGCACAACACAAATCTCAAAATTTTTTTGAAGTGCATGTGAGAGGATAAAGCTTCGAATCCCTTATATGTTCTGACACCCAGCTTGTCATCTTACTGACTGGGAATGGGAAAAAAATGTAAACAAAATTAAATAAAAAGAAAACATTATTTAACTGTTAAAACTTGAAAGACACAATTAAGATGCAACTAAGAAAAATAAAATTCTAACAAAACTTCAATTAGATGAACAAATAAAAAAATTCAACATCAAAACAGTAAATAAATAATTGAGTTTCTATTTGACAATTTAAGTGGGATACATTTTTTTCCCTTTTTATTTTCAATTGAATTCACATCATTGGCCTAAAAACATTCTTCGTCTGAAGGATTTTACCACTTCCTGCAGGCTCAGGTGGTGGTTTGGGACTGGAAACAATAATATTCTTCAACTTCTCCTGAAGCCAGTCCTGTCTATCTCCCACTTGTTTGTGTTCTCGAACATTGTGCATAAGCTGCACCTCACTGATCGATCTCTTTCTGCAGAGAAAACATTAAAACCACAGGTAAACACCACACCTGTGTTTGGATTTCTCAAGATAATGATCTAAATTGAAAAACAAAGGAATATTCACCTCAGTGGGTTTGCCTTTGTTAGAACACTAATGAAGACGATAGTCAGAACCAACGCTTCCAAGTACTTTAATGAAAGCATATTGAGTAACTGAAACAAATCACATAAAACTATTTGTTAGAAGCATTTTTACTTCCTCCCAATGCAACACCACATGCTTTCTAACCACGTATAAATGCACAATCATCCATCCTGCGTACTCTTACCAGGTTTTTGTCCTCAAGATGAAGTTTTCAGGCTGATTTACAACAATCCGGCTGAAGAAGTGAAAGTTGTTGATCAGTCTTTCGTGCGAGGAAGGTTCTCTCTCTTATATACAGGGGTCGCCCTCCCCGGTCATCAATGAGCAAATTTCACTGTTGATGTTGATGTCACATTTCCAATGCATCAATGGGAGCAGGCATCTGCAATGACACCACCTCCACCACAATTCACTAACTCAACTTTCAACACCTCTGCAAAGGCTCTTGTTTGTCACACTGTTTGTGATCCGCCATGCTTTAACCACCACACCAACAGCATGATGCAACTTGTGGGAAAACCGTGGTTGTTGGTCAGTATATCTTTGCCTGGGTTTGCCTCATGCACTGGGACTGCAATGAAAACGTATCCTCTTTGAAAAAGCAATGACTGTCAAGCTGAATTTATTAGCGACACAATTTTTTTTATGGTTCATCTCATGCAAGCATGTAGGGGTCGCTCAGAGGTGCAACTACTGCACCATCCCACAGAGAAAGGAGCAAAGGCCCTCATCCAGGCCGATGCTGTTTGGTCCTTCGCTGAGGGAGGCGGCTGATCTGCCTGCTTCAGCCAAACCTCTTAAACCAAATTATTTGTTACACTTTGTCACCATTTCAGGGATTTAATTGAGTATTTTTATTAAGTGTTATGCATCACTTCATTTAAACCTGCTTATAAATGTACAATCTGAGAGAGCTTAACAGGCATTTCAGCGAAAACTGACACACAACCATATTTATTTTCTAGTCCATATAGAAAGAACCAGCAGAACAAAGCTGTGCATGGATTCACAAAGCAGCATCTGTAGATTCACTCATGCCATCAATCACATTAAGATGACTAGGCATTTGAAAAAAACCACAGCGCACCTCCTTTGAAATACTTAGCATCACATTTGTGAGATGCATGGGTTGTGGATAACCTTGTCGCAGTGTCACAATGTGCGTTAGGTAATCACAGGAGATGTTTGCTAAATGTGGCAAAGGAATGACTATGCCATGACTGAAGGAATCAGTGCCACAAAAAGGACCTATATCCTTCTGTCATTAAGTCTCTAGCGTGATGCCGTGTTCTCTCCACCTTCTACACTTGATAGGGTACTCGAGATAGTCTTCTGCAGCATTAGGTGAAATTTCATATATCATATTTGATGATTCAACTTCTCGAGCATTAATCATTTTTCATCTGGCAGGTCATGCTCATGTTTGCCTGTTTAACACAGCTTCCATAACACCCCGTCATCAAAATGGGTCATTAGCACAAAGAGTGTGATATTTATTTTGGTACCAGCGTTATTATTCATTTGGTATACAACTAAATTTATCTGCTCTGTCTCAGAAATCCATCACTATCAGTGATGTAGCAAGCCACAGAGCTCTGGGGTCCCTATGGCCGCCCTTTGGGACAAATAGAATGGAGGTACATGTAGGGCCATTTATATGAGCTGTGTCCTTATCAGCGATCCGATCTGCACCATGCACATAAACAGCACTTAGCACCACCTGTGCTTTCAACCAGGCTTGATTTTTTTCACATGTGTAGTATACTTAACTAAGCTGCTCTCATTACCTCATGAGCTCAAGATGTGAACCATCCAAGCTATGGTATGCAGCTGGTGTGCAAGAGGACTTGTCAGGGACTGATGGGACGAATTGTGTGTAAATCATTAACACGGGTCACCCCCATGTAACACACATTAAATGACTCATCTTTTTGAACCAAATTTCAGGAATAAGTAGCCTGCACCCATGTTTGGGTTCTACAGAGAACATTTACATTGATTTTATGTTCTTTTTTATGGCAATGATTTGTTGTTGTGTCATTTGGTGTGAAAATAATGGATCGGGCTGTAGAACACAGAAGAAGGTGTGTTTGTGACACATCCATGACACATCCACAGTGAGACAGCTGCCCTTCTCTGGCATCTGCATTAGGTGTGTGTGTGTGTGTGTGTGTGTGTGTGTGTGTGTGTGTGTGTGTGTGTGTGTGTGTGTGCGTGTGTGTGCGTGTGTGTGCGTGTGTGTGCGTGCGTGTGTGTGTGTGTGCAAGGACGTCAGGGCAATAGAACGCTTTCCCTGAAATCTAAAAATAGCATTAGTTCTTTTTCAACAAATGAGGTCACCGCGCTTGAAGATATCATGTAACATGTGAAGACATCATGTGGATTTATTTCAGATGGCTGACATCATCATGCCTTTGCCTGTGAAGCCAGACTAACCTATTAGATAAGTTATAGCAACTATATCAGCGTTTTCTTTTGGACGGCAGTGCAGGTGGTTGCATGACTGGATTTCCTCTGAGCTAATCAACATTAAAGGTGTGGTACAATGAAAATCCATTTTAAAAATCTTATTCCTGATTTTAATCAGTTCCTCTGAGTTTTTCATGCATGCTGAACATGAAAATAGTCTCCTACACCTATCTCCTGCATCAGCTTTTGATAGAAAATAGACGCGGATTAGAATAGCCTGACAGATCTACGTCAAACTGTCAAACACTCATGGACTCACCTAGCTTGACTCGCCACGGGGGCGGCTGTTGCTGTTTCCAGGAAACATCAGCGATTATTACAGCTAGTACAGGCTAACTGTTAGCATTAGCAACTTCAACACAAATCAGAACCCCTCCAGACTTTAGTTATTTGTGGAGATAAAACATCAACGCTGCAGAGAAATCGGAGTCACGGTAGAGTTGTGTTGCTGTTATCCAATGCGAGGTGAGATGTCCAAATATCAGGAAATAAAAGCCTAGTTTGTGCTTCTGCATCTGTGTCGGTGCGGAGACACGCAAGGCCATTATACATCCTTGTGAGGGCTCTCCATCAGGCTCGCAAGGATGGACGGAGTCGAGTCCACTGTCATGGTCTGCGTCCTGCGTCCCCCTCGTGTTCTCCAGCCCCCCTCTAGGTTCCCCTTATGTGTCTCCTTGTGTTCCCCAGCCCCACTCTAGGTTCTCCCCTTAGGTTTCTGTGCCCCTTTTTGTACCCAGCTCCCTCCCGGTCTCCCTCAGGTCTCCCCTAGTCACCCCTCTGTAGCTTTCTACA